AACTCATGCGGAAGTGGCTTTAGCTTCTCAGTGCTGTGCTTTAACCCGCTACACCACCAGGGAGGGCCTCTTGGCAGTTTTCTAAATGACAATAGCTAATCTATCCAAAAAAGCACTTGAAATGAATTTCACTTCTTTTTTAAAAAAGATTTATGTGTTTATGCATATAAGAGCTGGGTTGTAGGCCTGAGGAGCAGAATGGGGAGGGAATGTGAGAGGATTCACCAGAGACAGAGTCGGGAGCAGAACTGGCAGATGTACTGAAATAACACTGCTGAGGGGAGCAGCAGGGGGATTCAGGAGAGTCTGCCACTCCATGTGGGTCACCTCCCTGGCCAGGAAACAAACTCGTGCTACAGTGGCAGCAGAGAGCTTCATAGTGCTGCATCTTAACCCCTTGAGCCACCATGGAGGCCCCTGAATTTTATTTCTTTACTTCATTTTTCAAAAACAAGGGATTAATTTAGGATTTATCTCAACTTTTCTGTGTTTGTTTTTTGTTTTGCTTTTTCTATAATTTTATATGTTTATTAATATTAAATTTTTAGGAAATAACAAGTCTGAATGACAGTTACAGTTTATCATTCTCTATTTCAGATGATCACAGTCGTGTTAAACTGCAAAACGCTGAAAATGATTATATAAATGCCAGTTTAGTTGACATAGAAGAGGCGCGAAGGAGTTACATCTTAACACAGGCAAGTAGTATGATGTCAGTGCCTGACAGTGCAGCTTATGTGGTTGGTTTGCTTTATTTGTTTGTTCAAATACAGTGGAATTTTTATTCAGCCATATTACAATATGGATACAACTTGAAAAATTAAGCTAAGTAAAAGAGGCTAGATTCAAAAGACTACACATTGTATTGTTCTATTTACATAAATGTCCAAAATAGGGGAATCCATAGAGACAGAAAGTAGATCTGTGGTTGCCATGGGCTAGAAGGGTAAATGGAGAATGACTGCTAATGAGTATAGGGTTTCTTTTGGGAGTGATTAAAATGTTCTGCAGTTAAATTTTGGTGATGATTCCTCATCTTTATAAATATATTAAAAAGTTTAAAGTATACATCTCAAAAATTTTAATTTTATGGTGTGAATTATATCTCAAAAAAGGAATTCTAGAAACATAATATATACTATCAATATAAGACAATAAATGTTTTGGTGACGCCTTTTAGTACAGTACTAAGTCTAGATTTGGGGGATGTAAAGAACAGGGAAAACTCTTAGGGCATTACTGCTAAGTTGACTCTCTAAGCATAAATAGAATTTAAGTATGCAATAGGGAGTGTTAAAATAGACATATATGCATTACTTTAACTTACGATAGAAACTACCTTTCTCCACAAATCATTTTCTTTTTCTTTATGTATACCAGTTCTCTGCTAAGGTCCATTTCCCTCCCCAAACTCGCCTGGCTACAAGCTAATCCTATTGACATTTACTAGGATGGTGGTGTTAGGTGGGTTCTGCATTCTTCTCATCCCTCAACATTTGTTACAAAACCACCTTTGCTTCACTGTCATATAAATATAATCTCTCATCTCTCCACTGATTCACACCATGGAATTAAATATCAGTGATAATTCCTAACTTTGTTATTAAAAAACATTACAGTATATACCTGTGAATTATATCTCAAAAAAAGGAATTCTAACAAAATAATGTATATTATTAGTATAAGACAATAAAGTGGCCGTAAGGCAGGTGTGTGGAGGAGAAAAATAATGTGTGTAATTTAGCTGATGGACCTTTGTTAAGGCTTTTGTTAAGATAGGAAGTTTTTTCCCTTGGCTTGGCCATGGTGTTTACTAACATAGCTCTCAGAATAAACTGCAGAATTTCCTTTTGTACTGGGAAGTTCATTTGATTTCAACAGGTGACAGGGAGATGGACCATGAACATTTGTGACATAGTTTAAATATTAGATTTTTGGACCTAGTTAGTAGTTATAACTGAATTGTCCCACTGCTAAACATTTTCCTGGATGAACAGAGATCAGTCTCTTTACTTTGGCTCAGCTTATCGTTTTAGAAAATGAATTAGCCCCCTTAAACCTGGTTCTGGAATAATGACCTTATTATTTTACTGAATGATCTGCTTAAAACATAGATAAAAGTATGTCTTGACCTGTTTTGGAAATGAAATGCTATTTCAGTTTATTCTGATTCTAAAATGAGTAATAGATACCTTACTATTTTGAACAGCTATATGTATAGTAGACAAAATTTAAAGTTATTTTTAATGTTATATATATTTACTGAAGGAAAAATTTATAAATGTAATGGTTTTAGGCAGTTAGACAAATTCTTTTATTATACTTGATGCAAACTTTATTCTTTATTTCTCCCACTCTTTATGTAACCTGTATCATAGTTAGAGGACCCTCCCCTTTCCATGTAATATTTATTTCTAGGTTTACCTAACTTTATGGTGAACCATAGGAACTATACTGATATGTTACATTCACACCTAGTACCATATAATTCATTCTAGCTTTTGCCCTTCCACATTTATAAGTGTTACTATCCTCAAAATTCCAATTTTATTATTTATTTTTTAAACTATCATTCTCCTTTGTCCCCGCCCCCCAACAACATTCCTTGTATCTCCTTGTCCCTTTTCCAACTCTCCTTCTTAGCCTTCAGTATACTTACTGATGTCCATTAGGTTTTGACAGTTTTTTTACCTTATCAATTTTTTGCTATAGAAATGTTCAGTATTTTTTTTTTATCATTCAGACTTACTTTGCAGTACATAATTCTTTCAAATTCCCTCCATTTTGTTGAAAACAGCTTCTTTCATCCTTACTTGTAGCTATGTAATACTCCATGGTGTGTATGTACCACATCTTCTTGGTCCAGTTGTCTGTCAGTGGACATCTGGGCTGCTTACATGTGCTAACTGTTGTAAATAGTGCTTCTGTTGATAGTTTTATATCAGTGCTATATATACCCAACTGGTAATCCACTTTGTTCTCTTATGCATAACTTTACAATTTTCCCAGCACCCTTTATTGAAGAGACCATCTGTCCCCCATTTTATGGTCATAGCTGTTTTATCATATACTAGGTACTGATATGTATGTAAATTTATTTCTGAACTTCCAGTTCTATTTCATTGATCCATGTATCTGTTGTGCCAATGCCATATTGTTTTTAATACTGTTGATTTATAATAAAGTTTGAAGTGAGGTAACTTGAAACCTTCATTTCTCTTGTAATTTCAGGTCTTTAGTAGTTACATAAAATTTCAGTGGTTTTTTTCATTGTTGTTTTTGAAAAATATAGCTGGAATTTTAAAGGGGACTGTGTTAAATTTACTTTTATGTCATTTTATCAGGATAGTCATTTTAATCATATTGAGTCTCTGCATTGATGAACATTGCTATCCTTCCATCTCCTTGTGCTGTTATCAAAATCCTTAAGTAACATCTTCTTGTTCTCATTGTATAGGTCTTGTTAGTTCCTTTTTAGGTTGATTTGGAGGTATTTCATTCTGTTTGAAGCAATTATAAATAGTTTTCTTTTTTGTTTGTATATTAAAAAGTTGTGGGTTTTTGCATGTTGGTTTTGTAACTTGCCGCCGCTCAGTGCATTTATTATTTCAAATAATAATAACTTTTGGTGTCTTTTGGATTTTTTAGCTATAATATTATCTACTGTATATAGTGATAATTTCACTTATTTTCCAACTTGGATTCCCTTTATTTCCTTATTTGTCTGATAGCTCTGGCCAAAGCCTCTAGTACTAAGTGAAACAGAAGTAATGACAGTGGGCATCCTTGTCTTGATTCTGATCTTAAAAGGCTAGCTTTTACTTTTTCACTATTGAGTATTATACTGACTGTAGACTTGTGATTTGTCAACTTTATTATATTGAGGTAGTTTCTTTTTATTTTTTAAGTCCCATCTTGTTTTGTGTTTTTATCATAAGTGATACTAAATCTTATCACATGCTTTCTCTGCATCTATTTATGTTATCATTTGATTTTTATTTTGCAGATATGATATATTTTATTGATTTTATATATTTAAAATCACCCTTGTGATGTATAATTCTTGTGGTATACTGTAGAATTTGATATGCTAGTATTTTGTTGAAAAGTTTTGCATTG